GGTCCTAGGTAGGGTAAAGGCATCTAATTCAATTTTAGGGTGGCAATACAAAATATTTTGAAGTAGGAAATCTGTCTGATATTGATATTTACTGCAATTTCTTTGTAGATTTTTCTTTCTTTGCAAATTTCACGAACTCATATATTCGCTAAATGATGTTTACCTTTACAACAAATGTTCCTTAATAATCATGCAAACAAAGTCCCAATTTGCATGAAATCATATTTTCACAGGAGCCTATGGTCTACTCCCAAGTCAGTTCTGAAAACATCATAAGGATCAGTATAGAACTCTTAGACATCTCAGACGGTGATAGCTTGACGATTGTAGAGTACAGATCTCCGCAGACGATTGTTACAGTTCTTGACAGTACGTCAATGACAGAATACGTCAGCGTTAGCAGTAATATCAGCCTGCAGTTCCGAGCTGGGCCGCAAAGAGCGCAGCAAACGGTGTGTGGCTTGACTCGTGCCTGACGTGGCAAGATCATATAGAGAAGCTGTGCAAATCTGTATCAGCTAAACTGGGTGTTTTGAGGCGTCTCACTCCAATCCTACCACAACATCTGACACATCTGACAATGTTATTCAATTGTATGGTTCTGTCCAAACTTGATTATTGTGATGTAGTCTGGGGTAACTTTGGTAAAGGTCTTTCAGATAAGTTACAAAAACTACACAACCGGGCTGCTAGAATCATACTTGGTCTATCTTTCACATCCCATGTTGGCAGTGATAAACTGTCTGGTCTGTATTGGAAAACCTTAACAACTAGACGTAAGGAACACCTCCTATATATGGTTTATACGTCTGTAAACCTACAACTGCCAGAATACCTCCAGATCATTCACATTGTAGCTGAGTCTCACCACTAACAACCCGTCATAGTTTAGGCCAGTCATTAACCCTCAAACACCCGAACTTTTTTGTGACGTTAATGCCCGAACGGGGTCCAAATGGTTCAAAAGTTATGCAAAAATAGGATCAGGCCTGCAGGCATGAACATGGGGTTGACCTTTGACCTCACATGATTGTCAAATTGTCAAACCTCTGAAAACCTGATAAAATAATTCCTGAGGTATTCCTTGAAGACATATTGAGGACATCCGAACAACTTCGTGTGTAGGAAAGTGCAAATACATGACTTGGACCCCAGACGGTCTTACATCAGACTTCCGTTGTTATTTTTACAAATTTGTGCCGATCTCAAAAAAAATTAGGAGAACTTGCAGAAGAGGTTTACTGACAAAGTCACGGGAGGAATTTTTTAGAATAAAAAAAAATTCAAATAGCACATAGAAATATACGTCTGGGGTCCAAATGGACCCCGTTCGGGTGTTTGAGGGTTAAAGCTACCACAAGTTCACCTAGAATGCGGTTGGCGAATGTTCAGTTACAGAGGAGCTAGTAGCTGGAATGAGATTCCACAGACTATAAAGTCAACTTCTACTTTTTCCACCTTCAAGCGCATGTTGAAAACCTTGGCTGACCTCATCTGACCTAATGACGAACGGACCGGTATATGGACTATGGATACTGGCTGTGTATTTTATGACATGTTTGTTTTATCCTGTTGAACATTACTTCTGTATGTTTCACATTGTTTTGTTCCTTGTAAAATATGTATGTTGTATGTACTATGTGTCCAGGGCCCCACTGCAAAGCAGTGCTTAACCACTGAGTGGGTCACCCTGGTTAAAGAAAACAGTATAAATAAGAACAAAATAAAATAGGAATTCATGCTGCGTTATGAAGGTGACTTTAATTTAAAAACACGTTGTGACCACCCCTGAAAATATTTCCGGCAAATATATCCAGGAAGTTCGATGACGTCACTTCCGTTTCCCCTGGCCATCTTATACCTGACGTTGACCTTTGTCCAACCAACCATAATCTTGAATAAAATCACTAATTCCATATCCTCATATTTCTAGGTGTTGGACACTGCGGACCCGTAGACGTCATAGATGACGTCACTTCCGTTTCCCCTAACCATGGAGGGAACTTCACTATTGGCCAACAGGCGACTGTCACGTGCAAAAACGGACAGAACGTTACGCTACAGTGTCAGAAGAACGGAACCTTCAGCATCCCCACACCTTACTGCAGTATACGTACAGGTGATTAAGTCCGTGTGATGTAGGGTCCGTGTTTTATAGGGTCCGAATCATTGCCTTGAACTTTGTAGCGAACGGATATGTACTTAATGTAATGAGAAATAAACTGTTCTCCTACTCAAACGAATCAAATGAATTTTCTACCAAATATCTCGGTTTTCGTCAGCTATCTGGACCAAGTGTTGTAGTCATGTGACTTTATTCGGCGTGTGACGTCACCACTGGGTCAGAAGTCGGTACCGCCCTCCGTCCCGGTTGAAGTAATGTTGGTGTGCCCTGATGTATACAACGTCTTTATTGGTTTTTATTGGTTTTCCAACCACAAACATACATATGCAGGGAAAGACACAAGTCTCCCTGAAGTGGGTAGTTTGTTACAATCAACACATAATACAATACAATCAATGAACAATATACAGTAGTGAAATACAGCTTAAAGATAACAAAACTGGACGCAGATACAGCGTGGGGTAGCTTATGAAACAGACTCGTTGCACAGTGAACAAATGACCTTTTCAGTCGCTCAGTCCTGGCTTTTGGCACAGTGAAGGCACTGTCGTTCCGCAAACGTCTACCTGTAGCTGAGGACCAGTTGGGGGGCACTAGGTCATGTAGTGGGTGCTCAGGCTTTATCATAGCTGTGAACAGCTTCAAAGAGGCCGCTTCCCTCCTTTCTTTCAAAGAAGGGAGCTTTGGGACTGTTCTCTTTCCCACGAGGGAGATGATGCGCACAGCGCGTTTTTGTACTCGTTCCATACTAGTGGACAGCTCGTCACTACAGCCAACGAGCAAAAGATGACCATACTCCAGTATGGGGCGAATCAGCGACAGATACACTTGCATCAAGTCGGCGACACTCTTTCATTGTTTTGTCAATAACCGCAGATAATGAAGCCTGCTGGAGGCCTTGGAAACTGCTGACTTTACATGTGCTCGCAAGGATAAAGTACTGTCAAAAGTAAACCCGAGGCCCTTTGCAGTTGTAACAGGAACAAGTTCGCCTCCAAGAGACAAGGATGGGGTTACAGGAATGTTCCTACTGAAGCAGATCTGCAACTGCTAACTCTTTTTCCCGTTCAGTAACATAATTATCATTTTGACCAGCCCACGTGTCGAGTTGCAACGCTTCTGCAGACATAGTGTTGTCTACGCCACATGACCGACAGGGGATTGACCTGGACAGGCCAACGTCATCGGCATACCCCACATCTATGTACATTCCCTTTGCCATGTCCACATCTTTTTTAGGTACGTGTGTTAGTAACTGTCATAAATGATAGACAATAATATCAAAGATTAGCATCGTGCGTTTTTTTAATCATAGTTCCTTTTTTGTTTGGTTCTTCAGAGATGGGCCATGGACAAAGCGTGGTGGTGTGGGCTGTGCCAGTTTCCGTTATAAGTTCCGTACTTCTTGTGTCAATCGTGCTTGCTGCTTTCTTCATCTTCAAACGTAGGAGGTATGTGTTCCATACAAGATGTATAATCTATAATGTAAAGGTATTACCATGTCAGCACATAGATAGGATAAGGCTATAAAAGATATGATAAGGATCTATTTGAAACCTTTCCATGGTCTGGATAGCTGTTTCGATGTTTACGTGAGGTATTTGCGTACGTAAATTTGTGAAAGGCATCCAATGCAATTTCAGGATGACAAAACAAAAATATTCTTGATGATGAAATCTGTATTAGATTTGCTTTTATTGCCATTTCTTAGCAAATTAATTTTCGTCATCATGCCATACTTGAAGCATTTGAAATATCAGGAGTATCAGTATACCATGTGATAGGATTGATCAAACTTATTACACTAGTTTAGAAACTGCTCCAAATATTGACTTTGAAAATCAAGCTTTAATATAAAATCGCTTTGGGTGCCTTTAGAACTCCTGTGTGACATTGCCTTAGTACTTTACATTTCACCTTACATAATCCGACTGTGACCACGCTTTCGTGGACTATTTCACACAACAGGTCTACAAAACAGCGAGGAGCCTCCAATGACGAATACGAGATGGTCGACCCACAGGACTCCCGTCCGCCGACTAGGAGTCCACAAGCCCCGGCGACAGTTTCCCCACGACCCGGGACATCTGGAACCCAGTCGGCGGACTCTGAATACCAGGCGCTGGACCCGAGGACCATGTGTGATACTGATAGTGAGTACACAAGTCTACGAGACTATGAGATTGCGTACGATCCCGAATACGAGAACACATTTGGAAAGGTGTATGAAAATGCCTGATTATGTCAAGTAGATTTGTAGCCGCAGATTGACATTCAGGTCAAGTTGGCAGTCTAAGACGAGCCAGACTTCGAGACCTCGTACGGCCCCTAATACGAGAACACATTCAAAAAGGTGTATGAGAATGCCTGATTATTTTAATCCATATATTTTGTAACCGCAGATTGACATAAAGGACAAGTTGGCAGTCTGAACTGTCTCCACAGGTTGGGTTTACTTGGGGTTTATCCACTTTTGTTATAACAAACTCTCATTCTGTAAGGTTACTATCCTAAAAGTTCAATTTAGCCATTTTGTACATATCATTAAAGATCTATTCGTTTCTAGGGGCATATAGTTTGAATCAACAGTAGCAAAAATGTAGCCGAGGCCTTTTCCAAGTGATTAAAATATCAGTTGTTTAATTTTACATATAAAGAGTCTAGCAACAGACAACATACAGCAAAGTATGACTGTAACTGAACTCCCAATTTTAGTTGTCAGAAATTACAACACATCAAAATGGAAAGACACATCCGCATTTCTCCCCAATGTCGACGTCCACAATTACTACAAACTACATTTGATATGGCAGACAAGTAACAATTCAAACGATTCTGCAAGTAGTCATATTATACTATGGTTCATTGTTGTAAAAATAGCATATCTAGTCAAGAATTCTTAACTGTAGAAAAATTTTATAAGATGCAGTATTCAAAATGTACACTAAGACTTTCTAAAAATGGTACCTTACTTTAATTGTATTTTCATGTTGTGAAATTTGATATCTTATGACATAATCAAGTAGAAAATAAGTGACATTGTTATTATATTGTAACCTGTATCATAAGGAAAGAATTGTAGTTTTTACCGTATCAAAGACAATTTTCGATATTTTGAATATTCAAATGCAACTGATAGATTTATACTTTTGATACGCATATACAAACCTTGAATAAGAGCAATTATTTGTTCAATTATCTACACATATGCAAACAGTGAGAAGAAGTTTATTGTACTTGTACATGTACTAGTATACTACTTAGTTATATGCATGTTATTGTCTTTATCGTTATTGTCCAACCGATTGCATCTTGTTCTATTGAAGTTGTGCGATTTCCCTTATGCAAATCGACACGTTACAAAATACTTTCCTTACTAGTTTCCTAATAAGGTAAAACCTATCGGACCGATTTGATCCACCCACTCAGTCCCTATATATATAAACGCTTGACTGACCACTTTCTGTCAGTCCTGACTCAGTCAGCCTTCCCATTGTATTGTATACATTTATTCTACAAATCGTTCGTGTGCGTCTATTTATTTTTCGGCGTTAAAACATCATGAAATTTCCTTTACCAGCCGGGCGGCTCATGTAGGGAGGGCACTCGGGGAGGACGAACCAATATAGCCGCGAACTTCTGCCCATGGAATTAACCAATTCTAACACTGTCTTACACAGTTCTTTTGTAATACATGACAACAGAAAATTCTTGTCCACTTACCGAGCCACCTCGAAAAGAAAACCGCTGAGACAGATTGCTTCGGTACACCCGAAATTGGCGGCCGCTGTTTACATTCTTGGAACACTTCATTTGCCATTTAGTCAGTCGATCGCTGAAGTTGCCCAAACTTGTGTGCAGTGTCCACGACGAAAGATATAGCTGCTTGTTTCTTTAATGTTATTATGTTTCAGTCCATACCATGGTATGGATGAAATATATTGTGTTCTCTTATGTTTCTTCTCCTTCTCCTCCATCTCCTCCTCCTCCTGCCAAACAGTCAAAGGGATTCAACTCCGCCATCATTCAGCCAAATGACTTGAAATTTGGCATGGAGGTAGAGTGGGCCAATACCCCCAGGCGCTTTTTTTTTCATATTTTTGATAAATACCTTTGAAAAATTTTTATGAAGGTTTTTTGGGGCATTTTTCGCCCAAAAATGGACTTTTGGATCCTGAGCCCTGGTTTTACAACCAAATGATCTGAAATTCGGTATAAGGGTACCTTGAACATGTGTCTACAGAATAGCAGTCATATATTTGGCATACATCACTTCCAAATGACTCATTTGGGGGTCTAAATGGCTATTTTCAGCAAAAAAAGGGCCAAAAGTGCTATACCCGTTCCATGTTCTATCTAAAGAATGGCCTGTTCCATCTGCCGTTGGCCATGGAACACGTGTTCCATTGCGGGCTACCTGAGGTCACATTGCACGTAAGTGGTGCGTAATGACCCATACATTCAATGTTGTGTGCCTAAGACCTTCAAAATGTATCAAATCTCATCATTGTTAGTATTTGCATACCTGTAATAAGATTAGTAAAGCTTTCGAGATTCAATGTGCTTGTTCTTGCATCTTTTTTCTCAATTACATAGCTACTTTATAGTTCATTTATTTGAGAATCTTTGCCAGTTTTACACTGGGGTAAGTTTGGAATAATCCACTTTTGCGTGGGAGGGAGATGGACTGAAATATGCTGTATTTGCTCCCAAGCAAATGTCGGCCTCTCTAGTATTATTAAGATATTTTCATACAGAATTTCTATTCTGAATAAAATTCAAACGGTCGAGGAAACAACCAAGGCAACAAATTAAGAACATACAAACTGTTCAAAGTTACATATGACAAAGAAAAATACCTAAGTATCCCAAATCCCGAGCATCGCCGAAGCATGTCAAAACTACGAATTAGTGACCATAATTTACACATTGAAACCGGCAGACATAACCGGACTCCTTTAGAAGATAGACTCTGTAAGGTTTGTAACTCTGGTAGCGTAGAAGATGAAATACATTTTGTACTTGATTGTAAATTGTTTGATATTGAACGTGACACACTGTTTAGAACAATCCACTTAGACAAACTGTATAAAGGTAGCACAAAGAAAGATGTATTCAGTCATCTCATGTTCACTAGTAATGACCATACAATAGAAAAACATCTTTGAATTTATCTCCAATTGCTTTAAAAAGAGAGAGGAATTCCTTAATTAAGGCTTAGTTTAGTTTATTCCCTTGTAGTTGTTGACTTTTACGTCATTCTGTTATCCTTGTATCTTATGTATCATGTTACTCAGAATGATGTACATGTAACATCACACTCTGATGTATGCATTTAGCCCCATGGGCATGAACATGCAATTAAAGATTCTATTATCATTATAAATAGTGATTCTTTTCTTCAAATAGCGCTATTACTACATAGGTCTTCTTTGCCACAGGATAAATGCATGTCTTTCCTACTATATCCTACCTGGGAGACAATGTCATATTGTAATAATTCAAGACAATCAGGCTGAAAATATTACCATCATCTTCTTCAAAACCACGTAAATGGATCTGATAAACGTCTAATAAAATGCCTTGTTACATACATAAGTCAGTAGGCTTCATTAGTTTTAAAGTGTATTTCAATCGCTAAAACCAGTCTACATTATAGCCGAGTTTACACACAACTGTTCAGGACTGATGTTTTACATTTCCTGATGTTAGTTTAGGTTAATCTCATTATGTAAAGAGCAAACAATGCTGGTATTGGCATGATCCGGACATGTATCAGTTAGGGACGCAAGAGAACCCAGTCGGCCCGCTCACGCAGTTCCAACCGGATCCGCAGGAGGTCGCAGTGCAGAATGCAGATCCAGATCCAAGCTTACCAGGCGCTGTTGAAAACAAAACGTTTCTCTGAAATAATTGCACTAACATTCAACCCCCCTCAATTGCAAATAACTATTTTACAATATAAACTGGAATGTTCACGTAATAGGATTTCAAAGCAAATACCAAATTTCACGTGATGAAAACAAGTGAATTAAACTATTTCAATATTTAGTGCAAATATTACACAGTGCCTATCTAAATGTAAAGATGATCTTACCATCACAATAGAAACCCACAACTTGGTCGACACACACCCAGTGAAGTGGGCACGGGTCCATGTCGCAGTAGTTTATATCTACACGGGAAAAATGCAATCATTCAATCGTATTTCGTTTACGTACTGTGGAATTTTTTTTAAATCAAAGAACAGTATTTTAACATAAGAGCTCACAGACCTACATTGAACAGAGACGGGGGGCGACACAAGTTATCTGGCACGTATGGCCCACTTCTACGGTCACGTGTCTCTGACTTCACGTTCCAAGAATAGACGGGTCCATTCCGTGAACAAGGTTGATGGAGTCAACCGAAAATTTGGGGTAAGTCCCAATTCTTTGTAGTTAGTGTTGGAAATGAAAGCTTACTAATAGTCTTTATTTCATAACGATTTGTACCAACACAGATGAACGTTCATGCCCAGTAATTTCTATGTAACTTATCATTATAAAGTATTTCGTATGATAAAAAAATATGTTCATTTAAACTTAAAGAAGACAATAACGTAATGCATGGTAGTAGCAGACTCAGGCTATATTATATAATAAACTAAACTTTTGTTGACGTAAATAATATACATACATACATGAAAAAGAATATTAGGGCACTATTGGAATTAATTTCAAAAGCCAAATGAAACGATGTAACAAAGCGCAATCCTACCCAATTAGGAATTTTCTAGTAGTACGATTTTAACGTAAACTTAGAAGAGGGAAATCAGGAGTTTTGTAGAGGTGATGTTTTTTTTAATTAGTAGAAGCATATAATTATTACTGCATCCCATGCACATTTGAAAACAAAACATATTATGGAAATACATCAACCTTGAGATTTGAAGCTTACCGTTTTCACATAGGACTCCTTCATAACCACGGCGACAGTCACAGCTGAAGAAGTTGACGTGGTCAAGACACATTCCTCCATTTTGACACGGGTTAGATGCACACTCATCTATGTCTGAGGAACATCGTCGATTCAAGTGTGAGTATTTTGGATTTTTGCCAATTTTGATAAAAAAGGAACATAAAACATCAAGATGGCCCGATGTCTCTATAATCTTTACACATCGGATTCCCGCCTTCCATTGTACAGCCCAGTGGCAAACAACCCTGCCTCGAGACTAAGACGTCGAGAGTTTGAATCCCGGATGTTTTGCTCAGCCGACAAACACCATCCTGGAAAATTTTGCAGTCCTCAGGACGAGACGTTAACCCGTGGTCAGCTGATGCAATGAACCTATTAGTAAGTGTACGTACTACACATAATGTCTCTCGTCTCTGAGTAGAAGACTAGCTCAACTGCTAAGCTGAACTGGTCCGAAATCACGTTGACTCGTCCTATGTCTACAATGGAGTATGACTGAAAAATATATCCGTTGATTTAAAAACGTATAAAATATCACTGCTGAACCCGTACCTGTTTCACAGAAAACGCCGGTGTACCCTGGATAACAGTCACACATGGTGGTATCAGAGAAACATGAGGAACAGTTTCCCCCGTTCTGGCACACATCTTGGTTGCATTGAGTGATAGCTGTTTACGAACGACATATAGACAAGGTATTGTGTTAAAAGGATATCAATTTAAGTGTTGCATTCCGACATGCAGGTTAGAAACTCATGTTGAATTTTCATCCTTTTCAATTCTTTACTTATGTTCGTAACTAGAATTAACATAAATTCGTGTTATTTATGAAGTGGCTTATGTTATTATTACCAATATATAAGTACTATGTCTTTTTATATCTTCATTTTTGTCATTTCTTTTAAAATTTATCATGGTTACATTAAATTGTAAGGGTGAGCTGTTGAA